TGCTGGATTCATCAGTCCATGCGAATTGTGACAATACGCAGCAAGGGACATTTTTAGATCTTCTATACAGCTGTGAAAGACGAAAAAGGTGTGTGTTATTTCAAGCAGCAATTACTTTTTCCAAGCTCCAAGACTATGAAGTTAATATTTTTGACAAAAGAGGTAAATGAGAAGCCTACAGAACAGTTAAAAGATATATGTATCCCCACATATGGTTGTCTGAATGTGAATGGTGACTAACATAGTAGGTCCTACAGATTATTAAAAACATATCTGATAATGTATACAACCCTATTTATGTTTGGCATTCGTGCCTATTGTTGTTTTGTTATCCGCTCCCATTTGTACTTGTATATGACACGATATGTACCTGCCGCCCATCATAAAACCTGGATTCCTTTGCAGGAGATATCCGGTTAAATATAGGATAGATAAAAAAATGTGAGAATTGAAAATGTTGTGTGGGGATAATTGACCATAGAATGACTGAAATCCAAATACAACCCTCTTTTGGATGCCATACTATGCTCATGTATCTTCAGGTTCATGTGTGTGCCTCTGATGTTACATGTTTAGATGCTTTCATGTTTAAAAAGTCTCCCAACAGAGAGAAGCTTCTTCTGGAGGGAACTTTGGTATCTTTGCAGACCATTAACATGCACTAAAACCAATAAGACACACTACAGGAAAGGGAAAAACCCAAAAAGCATAATAAGGCCCTTCAAAGGAAAAAATAATGACATCTTATTTTATATTATAACTTTATTATGTCACTAAATGTTCCTCTAAAATCTGCTTTCGAATTTCAGGGCAGATGCATGAACTTCACCCGCATGAAGTCTCCCTCTCCTGGCTACCGAGACTACAACCAGCACCCATCTCCCATCTACAACCCTCCCAAAAGCCCCCCTCCCCCGCAGGGCACCCTCCCTCCGAGCCCCAGCAGCCCCCCGTCATCTCCATCGTTCTCCTTCTCCAGCCTCCCACTGCTGCCTCCCACCCCTCCTCCCACCTGCTCCCCTCCCAACACGCCTCCCCCCTACACGCCACCTCCTACCCGGGCTCTTCCTCTGACCAACCTGCACATACCTGACCCTCCAGCCCTTCCTCCCACCCCCCCACCCTCCGCCTCCCCCACTGGTTCCCTGCCTCCTCTTCCTCAGGGACTTCCTCCGGGACGCGCCCCTCCACCTGCCCGTGCTCCACCTCGCCCCGGCCTGTAAAGCTCTGGGAGCAGAGGGTGGAGAATTTTAAAGGATTTTATAAATGACATTGAGTCCCCTCAACAATCAGCACATGACCACCCTTGATTGTACCTGCGAGGACCTGTGAGCGTGGGCTTTAGCCTTCCTGCCTTGTGAAGTTGAATCAGTGAGGACTTGTTTTCAGCTGTTTGTCTACAGTGTACACACTAAGACTAACAGTGCAATTGCTGATGCTTGAATTACACAAACATTCCCCAAAAATGAGGTCATGCAGGCCGGCTGAAAGACATTTGTTTCATGGTCCTCGGAGCTGCTGCAGGCCCTGTTGTCCCCTGCATGCGCACGCACGATTGGACGAATCCTGAACAAGCACAGGAACTTGAACTGAAGCCTCTGTACAAGGAGGAAATTATGTTCAAAATGATCATTACACTAAAGTATGTGTCTGTAACATTTCCTGATAAGAGACTCAAGTTGCAAATGTTCCAGATACAACACATTTAGGATGACTTAGAAGCATCAGAAAATCCACATTTTTGTACTCTTGAATGTTGAGCGATTGCATGCAATAATGTTTAAGTTGTTCTTTTTATAACATTTCTACCTTGTTTTATACAACATAAATGCATTTTTTATTTGTTTTTAATTGTCGAGTAGACACATTTTTGAGGTTAGAAAAAAAATGCTGATTGTTCAGCGTATTGAAACAGCAATGCAACCTATTTTAACTTTTTTTTATGCCATAGTAAACATTGTGGGTCACATCTGGGCCTTGTTTGTGCTCATCAGAGTAAAGAATGATTTAAATTAACCTTACCAAGATGATTGTGATCGCTGCATATGCTCCACCTATTGTGTGGATAAAGAGTCAGGGAAAAGCTGTGCATCATCTTCCACCCATGGCCTCTAGCAAAAGGGTTTTATCTAAACAATACTTTTGATATAACCATGTGTGTGCAGATAGATGCTTGCGTGTGTGTCAAATAGAAAGAGGCTAGTCTACTTTACGTATTGTGACATTTTAATCAACTTAAACAGAATCATCTGTTTTCTTGCACAAGGTGCTTTTAGTTCCTCCAAGCATGGAACATGATGAAAGCAATGCTGTCTCATGGGCCATAAAAAGTCAAGTTTAAATTAAATAAAAGTTAATATGAGTTTCTGCTAAATTCAGTGCAGATTGCTCCTGCTCCTCAGAGTCTTGAATGTCACGATACAGTCGAATACTTTGTCTCCTTCAAATGAAAGTAAACAATTGAAATGTACTGAAGTGGATTCTGTCTTTCTATATTTCTCTTTAAATACAATTACTCATCCGTAGACCATTGTGATATACTTGCTGACAATGTGAAAACATGGGGGGTGAAAACTCCACTTCAATATTTTAGCCTTTGCAGACCACATGCCCAAAAACCTATATAACACACTACAGGAAAGGGAAAACACCAGAACGAATAATAAGGTTGCTTTAAAGAATGTCTACAACATGCCATTCATTCTACAGTAATTGGAGATATAATGGTAAAACTCTAATTTAACTTTTCCTCCTATTTCCTTTATATAACAGTAAGAATGAAAACTGATATTGTCACTGGGATCACCGGGTTTACACAGTGGGCAGGGGCTGTTTGCAAAGAGCACAGAGCACCTCACTCCCTCTTTGTGATGGAAAAAAAGGGAGAACAGAATATGCAGAGCATGGCTAACTAATCCCAGATGTTCATATGTTGCATTATGTCACATGCACGAACGGAGTGAGCTATCTCGGAAAATATTAGACACCATTTAATCCTCAGGAATTGTGGACAGGCTGCAGGGAAAGTGTTTGCGACAAATTCTGGGGACAGTGGACAGGACAGAGAGAAATAACGATCTGCAGCTTCTGAATGTTTCAAAGAAAATGACTTTGATTATGATTTGATGTTGACAATCTGCAGGGACATTTTAGATCAAGTTGTGAATATTCAATGCCAGACAAACCCAATGCAAGATGTCTGGAGTCTGCTGCCAGCTTTGTTTCCAGGCTGTGTTAAGAATTACAGCACATATGTCCAGCATATACTTTATAAACATTACATCACATAACTATTACACAGACGTCTCCCTGATAAAAACCCAACAACAAAGGCACTAGTGTTATACTGACTGCTGCCTTTAAAAAAAAAAAATTCTTCAGGAAGACATTTGGGTGGAGTTCTTCATCGGTATGAAACATTCAGATGTGAGATGAACCACCACAGACCTTAATAAGTGACTGACAGTTCATTTAAGATTTTCTCCAGACTTTGTCAGCACTATTAAGTGAGGCCAGCTTTTCTGGTAAACCAACATTCACAAGTGTCTGGTCTAGTTTACGTAGTTGATGACATTATCAAAAATCATCTCATAGGCTATGTGTTCACTGAGATCACCCAGTAGTTAAACTCAACGAATATCCACAATATCATTAAAGTCACTTCTTATACAGTGATACCAGTATACCGTTACAGCCACACTTGCTATGAGATCACAACAGTCGTAGAGCCATACCGAGCCCAAACCTAGAGCAGCACCCATTCTTGAAACACACCTAACTTTGAACTCAGTGTTCATTTGGATTTGTCCAGATATAGACAAAATATAAACACCTTGCACTCTAACTGGGCAAAACCGCTTCTGTGGCCATGTCCTGCTACAGTGTAGTTAAAATAAATAAAAGATGTGCCAAAAGAAGAAACACAACAGATTTCTCATTCCCATTTTCCACTAAATAGTTTAGATTTTGGCTTATTGGAAGTAAAACACAGGTGTAGATAATCACGTAAACATGGCTTTGCCTTTGATCCATTTAGGTGTTCAGGCTCTTGGATATCATTGGTGGCTCAATTGGACACTATATTATGGACCCATCGTTAGCGTTATTGAACACCTGTGCTGTGTTTCCATCAGCATACTTCAGCCATGTCGCAGAAGATCTCGTTGGTTGAAACACCTGCTACCCGTTATCCAATCACTCTGACATCAAAAAGCAGCTGTGAGTGTTTGGTCTTCTTTAACACAGAGGATGATACCTGAAATGCTTCAGTCGCTGCTTTCTCTACATGCTAAACTACCCACAGCCACAATGCTCTTTGTGGTTGGAGAATAGAGGACGTTTTTCATCAGAGCAGTGGCCAGCTTCAGAAACTACTCTGCAGCTGCACTGGAAGACATTGTGGTTAGACAGCTACCGTTTCACCTCTCCACCCTGCTGAGCCTGAATGCATTCCTCAGGCTCACGCTGGCAGGTGTGCTGCTCTCACGAAGGAGGCAGGACCAACATGGACGCTCGAGCTGCTCCACCTGGGCTCCATCAGACCTTCAGAGACGCCAGCTGCTGTGTGTGCGGGGGAGGAGGGAGAGCTGTTCGGTGGTTAAAGTCAGCGCTGCGTGTCGGGCTTGATCTCTGCCAACATTCACGCTCTGTTTGCATGACCATCCTGACCCTGGCAACTCGCCGCTTAGACCCAGTGCCTCCACCATGACTTTATGTGGATGCATTCAATCCTTACTGTGAGTGACTGGTAACTCTGAATCATTCGGGATATGTCATCACTATGCACAGCTCCTGAATGCATCTGGTCTCTTTGTATATTTTAAAAGAACCCATTTATTTAACTTTTAATATCATACATAATGTAATATAAGTTGATTTCTACTGCCTGTTTTCATTCTAATAAAATGTTGACGTTTGCTGGCATCTTTGTCAGGATGTGTGGCACCTTCACAAGAATGCACATAATGAACTGCACCTTCTGAACAAATTAACTCAGACACTTTAAAAGGGAAGTACTTGACACTTTATTGCATCGGTTCCACTAATAAATAGTGCCCCACGCCCTCAGTAGCAGATGTTGCTAGGATTCAGTGCAGCATCTTTTGTCAACGCCGCCAGTCAAGTAATCTAAATCTGCTAACAGCATGTACATGTTTTTTTTGTTGTTGTACCTGTAACATTGTCCAGTTTTCAAAACCTTACACTGGTTCAGGAGGAACTCAATGAAGGGGGGGGAAGAAATTAAAGTTAAGGCTGGATTGCATAAGCAAGATAAATATCTTTTGAACCTAACATGTGATGACTGAAAAGGAAAGCAAACAAGCACTTTCTATTTCTTCACTATGTGTGTGTGTGTGTGTGCACAACATCTCCCTTTCCAATACAGACTATGGGTCACACACACACAGCTGACTTTTTTTTTTATCTAAATAAACATCTGCAGCATGACACTCTGCCATAAAACTATACATGTCCGCTTTAGGCCTCAAAGCATCCTTCCATGACACAATCTACCAACTTCAGTAGACGTTTGGCTACAATATACGATGAACATATACAATATATATGTTTTGGTTTACAACTGCCAAAGTGATTTTTGGTACGACAGGAGATTTCAAATGACGGTAACATTCACATTTTAAATCAGAGTAACTTCAATAATACAAAAAAAGAAATTAAATATAAGAAAAGAAAAAGGGTTAGCTACAAATGGTCCCAATTGCAGGAGTCGTGGTGGAGAGGCGTGGGCTGGAAACTGTGAGAACCTTCAACTCCATGTCAGTAACTTCATCTCATTTCCATCACTTCAGTTTAAATGTAAACCTTACCTCAGCAATAAGGTCAGTATAAGAATCATTATGCAGAAATGGTTTAAAGGAAAAGCAGAGCGAGTGTGAGGTAACACAATCTCACACTCTGAGTAAGAGGCTTCTTCTCCCAAACCAATCCCACCAAGACTAGGGTTTAATATTGAAATGCAAGGTTCATACAAAGGACAAACTTGTGTAACCTACCCAAGAATATTTCTTACACAGCAGCATCTTCTCAAGCTTTTTCTGTGATTTAAATGTGTGACGTTGCTTCTTTACTGAGATGAGAGTCCTCAGAAGAGAGAGTGTAACAAGGTAAACACAGGCAAACTGCGCTGCAATTATGAATTTGTGATGACCTGTGGCTTGGAATGAATTAAGGCAGTCGTTTACTAAAGATTAAAAGACACTTCAAATGATTAGCTGCCAAAGAAAAATATCCAAACAAATCATTGCAGGAAAGGAAGAGGAAAAACAAGAGCCATGAAGGTCTGTAAAACCCAACTCCTGTCAGCTATAACAGCAGCTCCTAGTGATGCTAATCAGCACAAATAAATATGTAACAAGTCAGTTGCTACAGATTCACAAACTGAGCGTTATGAAGACAACCAGCCCAGACCTCCCCACCACAGACAACTGCTTCTCTAACAGTAAAATAACAACGATGCCATTGGATTCTAGGAAAATATAGACAGTGAGACACAGATAATATGCAACAGTGGGTTACACAACTGTTGGGTAAAAGATTGCATTACAAATAGCACGTTGTTTTCTCTTGCTTTCTGCATACAGGCGCTCCCTCTCCGTCTGTATGAGTGAGCGTCCGCCTGGCTTCTGTTGTTGTGATGAATGTTGCGTCTCACTCCACGGTCACTGACTTGGCCAGGTTTCTTGGAAAATCCACCTGTAGTTAAACACAATACGTTATTTACTATATGATGAACAATAGCCCTTTAAATGAACAACAACAAGTCAGACAGGGTTTCTGCTGACTAAATGCTAAGTTGGATTTACCAAAAAGACACAGTGATATAATGCTCCTAGGATTCATTACTTTAAACAGACTTCAGATACTTGGACACTGTTATAAAAGAGAGGGAGGGCGGAGTGCCACAGAGCTGTATTTGCACATAAATCTTTGCTTCCCCGTCAGAACAGCAGCCCAATATGGCACAGTTATAAATAGCTATGGCTTAAAAGTAAGAGCTAACTGGGATGCAGTGTGAGGACATGTCTCTGAAGTGAAGTGTTCCACAAAGACAATATTTACATGGTGTACTTCAGTTAAGCTGTTTACTTTGTCCTTTGACATCGTGTTATAAAGCAGAGCCAGGGAAGTGTACACAAGGTTCAACAGCTAGCCCAATCCTGTTTAAAAAGTAAGCAACTTGTGAAAATGAAGAGACAATAATACGAGTAATGGTCACATACTGTTCTTTATCAAATCTGTTAAACTAACAAATGACATGCCTTAATTTCAGGGCTCGTATAGTCTGAGACACAGATACATGGGAACATTGGGAATAATTAAACTAGCAGGTTTTACAGAAGCTAACAAAGAACAATTAATAAAAAGTAGTGCTTAAATGTGTGCCGTGTTACAGTGATAGCAGATGTGGTCCTCTCCAACACAGCACAGCAAAACTGGTAAACATGTGATTTGATCCCCTCCTTAAATTCACATACCTTTAAGGACCAAAGGGAGACTGTATGTCAACACATTGGGATGTTTAATATATACTACATACAATTGAAATCCTTTTTTAAGGCAGCTAAACTTATTATCTCCAGTGTTCTGAGTTATGAACTTTACACGCTTTGACTTAAATAACAATAATGGTTTGAGTGAGTTAAGAGCACTGTGATCTGCACATATAAACACTGCATGTTGTTTATTTCTGACAGTGGATGTCGATGCCTTTGCCACCTGACGGGGTCACAGACAAATAATCCAGGAGACTGAAAGTACAAACACATCTCTGCTAAAATAAGGGGCTTTGAAGTCCACATCTTAAAAAGGGGACCCATCATGCAAAATGCACTTTTTGATGTCTTTTATACATAAATATGTGTCCCCGGTGTGTCAGGGAACTCACAAAGTGTCAGAAAACAAAACCCTCTCTTTTCCTCCATACCCACATCTTTAAAAAAAAAAAGGAAAACAAAGGGGGTGCTAACAAGCAGATCCAGAATTTTCGCTCCTATTACGTAATTGGCGCTACATCCGGCCGACGTGCCAGTCCCCAACTCCGGGGACTTCCGGCCGGGGACTTCGGGTGGCAGTAGGCTATACGCCGTGAAGTTGTTTGCGGCCTGCCAGTAAACCCAAAGCAGAAGAAGAAGAAGTGACGTCAGCGGCTTCATTTGCCTAATCCTCCCTCAGGGACTTATTCCGGTGTGAACGCGATCTGCTCTTTAGTTCATCAGAACTAAGTTCTGATGAACTAAGTACACCAAAGTGCTTGGTGTGAAAGCGCCTAAAGACTTCAGCCGACGGCCAAGTTGCACGTACGCACTGCGCATGCGTGAGTGGCAATAACTCTCCTTACCAGCAGGCGGCGGTAGTGTGTATTCGTCATTCAAAAGAGGCAACCCGGAAGACAGACCGCGTGATACACCGAGAGAAGAAGAACAGACTGCGTGATATAAACAAATAGTGTGCGTTCCATTTTTACTCTCGTCCATCACAGACTGTTTCACATAACGACTTCTAATCGAAAACATGTTTAGTGCGGTACTGGAAAATGAAAAATAATAGCCGTCTGTGTGTGCCTTCTTCACTTCTGTTTCGCTTCTCATGCACTGATTCGCTAAGCTGAACAGCCAATCAGAGTGATTTCTTTTGCCGACAGCCTCCCGATTCAACAAGGTGTTGGAACGGCCGAAAAGACACGACGGTGCTGGACACACCAATCTGAGGCTGGAGCCACACGAGGACGATAACGCAAACGGACCGAAATCGATATCAAAAAAGTCTTCCGTCCACACGCAATAGGCACCTCTTTTTCTCCCTCCCCGAGGCAAGCGTTTGCTCCTGCTGTAAATCTCTCCGGTTAGTCCACCAGCAGATGAAAAACACCCACCTCTCCGCCTCTTCCAAGGGACGAGGGGCCCGTGCCGCAGAGTTTCAGTTAGATTTTTTTTCACCGGTCAACATGTCCGTTAAAGTTTAAATCTTCCGGACAAAATTAGAAAAGTGCCGGTCAGATGTCTTCTTTGTTATTTATTGAGCTTTAAAACAAATTGATAACGACTCTATATGATAATATAAGAATAAAACACGGAGCCTCTCTTTTCCTCCCCCTCTTCTGACAGCCCAGCAGCTGATCTCTGAGCAGGAGACGTGGGGAGAGGCGGGGCTTCAACGTTATCAGGAAATGATCGTATAGGCGTAAACACGGAGCCGTTTGCCCCCCCAGAGCGTTTCGTTTGCAGATCTACCCACCTTGGGACCCGTTATCGTTATCGTTTTCTGCGTTTTCCGTGTCGGCCTCGTGTGGCCGAACCGTCTATCTGATAGTGAACTGTAGCAGATACGACCGTTATCGTCCTCGTGTGGCTGGGGCCTGAGTAGGGCGAAAGGACACTCATCGACGGCCAGACATCTATCGACGGCCGAAATCGGCCCGGTGTGTCCGGGCCTTAAGATTTTCATCGTCATAACTACACTGTAGCTATATACGCATGACCAATAAAAGCCTTGAACCTTGATCATCTGTTAAAACAGTCGGGACACTCAGGGCCGGTACTCACGTCGTATCCTCGGAGCACGGCCAGGTGGAAGGAGAGCAGCTGCAGCGGGATGACGCTCAGGACGCCCTGCAGGCAGTCCATGCAGTGCGGCACTTTGATGGTGCGGCTCGAGTTCTTGGCCGTCTCGTAATCGTCTTTGTCGCAGATCACGATGGGGCGGCCCTGGAAATCAAACAAAGCAAATGATCTGTCAATGTGGTCCTAAACTTGGATCTGTAAAAAACACCCTCCTCCTTCCACCGATCTCAGCTGATTTTAACACCTCTTAAAGCCACATCTGCTGCAGATTACTAACAGCGGTGATGTCACGCTGGACCCCTCCCTTGTGTTTATTGAGGTGAAGGATCGGGGGTGTGACGCAGGACAGGACTGTGGAAATTAACCTGACATGCAAAATGTGCTGCGGTCCTCAAGGGTTCAGAGAGTTAAGGTTTTAATACGGGACGCTTTAGATGTTCTCAATAACAATGACGGTATCACAGATTAGATTTCAATGTTTGAAAATGCGTTTCATCATTATTTTTGTGAGTTTTTAAACAATTTGCAAGGTCGGTCACTGGACATTGCAACAGTATATTTAAATCTGGATTGTTTTTGATTAAAGTTGTTCTTAATACATCAAGATTGAGTTAATATTCAATGTCAAGGTACATTTTATTATCCCAATAGGAGAAATGTGAGTGGTCAAGGTGTATGAATAGACATCAAAACAGAGATCATTAAGTGTTTTTAATACACAATTATATATTCTTCAAATTTTCTCAGTCACGATGATGGCACAAAAAAAACCATTCCTGTAAAATCGGAATAAAATGTAATGTATTGTTCATTTGTTAACCGTAATAGATTAGATGTTTGTTTCCAGAGCATTTCATTGAGTGAATAAATGATCTGCAGGATATTGGATAATTTTGTATAATTATTTAGTAAATAAATAAAAGGTGTACAATATGTATATAATCACAAACTGGGAAATTGTGCAGGCATCCACTCGTAACATTCATGAAACGGATCATTACATCTGATTTGTTGAGGTGTGTGTAGTTCTTACCTGGCGGGCAACAATCTGCTGCAGTGCGTTCTGACATTTGTTGTAGGTGTGGTCCCTCATGATGATCATGATAACCGGCATGAGTTTATCCACCAGAGCCAGGGGGCCGTGCTTCAGCTCTCCAGCCATGATGCCCTCTGAATGCATGTACGTGATCTCCTTGATTTTCTAAGCAGAATAATGTAAAAAAAAACACGGGTTAAGTCAATCTAAGCTTACGTAAAACCACAAAACTCAGTCCATCTCAAAGTCAAGTCAAAGTCAACTTTATTGTCAATGTTTCAGTTTGTGTGTGCAGACAGAGAGATCAAAATACCGTTTCCCACAATCCCGAATACAAAACAAATATATATATATATATACACAATCAAAAGACACATGTACACATTAAGACCTCAATATCGGTATGAACCCTAGTTTTCTAAGATTAAGATGCATATTCAAAACAATGATCTCCAATATTAGATATCTACATTCTTTGGTTTCTTAGTGTAAAGAAAAAGGCAAAATATTTCCTGCAGGTAAATATAACTTTTATGAAGCCCTTAAGGGACACCATTCAGAAAAAGAAGGATGCGTTTTCTCACCAGAGCTCCTTCCAGGCAGGTGGCATAATGGTAGCCTCGGCCCATGATCAGCACACTCTTCTGCTCGTACAGCTCCATCGCCAGCTTCTGGATCTCATCATCCAGAGCCAGCACCTCCTTTATCAGATCTGTAAAAGACATGACCAGAAAAAACGTGCAATTGTGGATCTAAATTTGAAATGTGGCCAAATCCTACCATGTGAAATCTTACCGTCAACATGCTGCTCCCATCAAATGCTGGATTATGAACTCATACTGTCACAATGAGGGAGATTCTATCATATGCTTTAGATCCAGATAAGCCACAGCCTACAGCGCTCTCTTCCCCTGATCCCGCTCATCGCATCACTTCCTCATCCAAGAGGATTGTATAAACAAACAACAAATATGAACCATGCTTTGGGTTCACTTGATCTCTGCTCGGAGGGCTGGCTTTCTAACCCTATACATTTTAATCTCACATGTGATCTGAGGCCTGTACTACGAAGCCGGATTTTCGCTTAGCGAGCTAACTTCAGGGAAAACTCTGGGTTTCCGGTCCTACGACGCTGGTTCACTTTTTACCGGGCTAGATCTCCATGGTAACTTATGCTGAACAGCTAACCTGGGGGGTATACTACGAATCAAGATTTTCGTTTAGCAAGCTAACTTCAGGGGTTTCCGGTCCTACGAAGCTGGTTCACTTTTTAGCGGACTAGATAACTTATTCTGAACGGCTATCCTCCGGAGCAGGATAGGTTCCAGGATAAAAGCACTGCCTGCTGACCAATCAGAGCTCAGTGTGCGGAGTTTAAAGCGATCAATTCATATGACAGGAGGAGAAAGGAAATACAGTTTAAACTGCCGTTGCAGGAAAGACGACCGGCCAAAATCACCGACCGTGTGAACGTGAAAATTAATAGAATATCCTCTCCCATCTTCAGAGCAATCTGACTATTATAACATTAGCGTTAAGAAAGCTTACTTAAATATCTGCCACAACACAAGTAACCGGATCAGAGTAACATTAAGTACAGTCCGCGGCACTGTGAGTGCAGACGTCGATGTGTCCCATTATCATTCATATCACATCATAATGTATCATATATTTCCTTATCTGAGTCAGCTTCTTGAGCCGTATCTGGCCGTGCAACACTACAGTGTCACATACTGTATGCAGAAGTATTATTTTAAGCAACACATTAAGTTGACGAAACACTCGAGTCAAATGTAATTAAAGTCAGATCCACTCGTGTCGGGGCAGCAGTGATATCATAAAACTGTTAATGAACGTATTCAAACACTTTTTCTTTTACCAGCTGTATTCACCTTGCAGGTGCAGCTATGTGGCTTTTATCCTGGATAAAGTGTTTAAGTCATGGATGTTTAAAGTTTAACGTCTTCATATTAGTCTAATATTATAGAAGTATGACGCTGCGCTGTCAGTACGCTTCTCCATGTTTGTGATTGGTCAAATGTTGCTAACCCCGCCCCTTTCATGTGAACGCGCACTCAGCCGGAGAGAGAAACCCTGGCTTGAGTTACCCAGTTGATAACCAGCGTCGTAGGACAGTTTAGCGAGAGCGCATTTGTTTTGGATTAGGTAAGCCGGGTAACTCAAACATATCCAGGGTCTGTTGAACTGGATTCGTGGTACAGGGCTCTGGATTTCTGTGTCTGAATCAGAAAAGTCTTGGCTTTATTTACCTGGGAGGACTCTCAGGCCCTGGATTATCTCTCGGCGTCGGGGCTGCATGGAAATCCTGTCGTCGCTCATCAACAGCGCAAACATGATGAGGGCCACGAACTGGCTGGTGTACGCCTGCAGAGCAAAGTCAGAAGAGCAGAGTGTGTGTTATTAATGTTAGATTTACATTGCAAATTCTGGATCAAATTTCAACTTTGCAGAATCTTTATTTAATTTATATATATTTTTTTTAATCCTGGGTTATGTTTGGTTTCATGAAAAGTGCTCAATTTTACAATAAAATAAACATAAAATAATGTAGAATAAACATTCATATAAACTAAGTTCAAGTTAAAAGTGCAATAGATACGTTGGAAAGAATTTGCACATTGTACTACAATATATAACAATAAACACTTGAATATTACAATGTATATAGTGGTGTAATATTAATAATTAAACCAGAGTATTCCTTGAAATGTACAGTATAATACAGCAATAATACTTAATGAGTATTATAGCATTATAATAAGTGATAGGAACAAGAAAACAGCCGTCTAATTACCCTTCTAACTAAATACAACTGTGCTAAGACACGTGCACAAATGGTTATGAAAAACCAGGTCCTATTGTAACCCAACTTATTAAATATAATAAATAGTACGTTTTCTGTTTTGCAGCTAAAGTAACAAAAAAGAGCAGCAACCAGATCCCAAATGGAGTCTCTCTCTCTCTCTCTCTCTCAGTATAGTTCTTCATGCATGTGCTTCATGTCTCTCTGTTTTATTATACTGAACTCTGTCTCAGTAATAATCTGCACCAGATGAGAATAGAAGGAGTTTGGATTTAGTACACGTCAAGCAGCATGCAGCTCACTAAAACCAATTGTTGCTCATCCTGGAAAACTGTGTGAACACACAACATCCCGTCAGAGCGCACACCCTCTGATCATTCTGCAAACGTCACCGCTCACACAACCGCGGCACATCTGAGACTCCATGCCTGCCTGCCGTCATCCCCGCACACTTTGTCTCCTTTCCTTCATCTGCAGGCACGTTTGGAGGCCTTCCATGCCCATTAGGGAGATTTAATCAGTGCTCCAGTGAAGCCAAGTCATTTCACGGGACCCTCTGGACTCAGACATGCCAGTGTCTATTGCCAAGAAAATGGCTGTAAAACCTTTACACTGTTTTTTCCCTCCTCCAGACAACACGCTAACCACAGCTCCTCAGAACTCTGACCGTCTGTGCTAGCGAGTCAGAGGTGGCAACATATTTATTCAACATAGTCAACTGTGGGGTTCTCCAAGTGTTTATGTCATCTACTTTGTAGCGTGTTTCATGCATAACATGCCAACTGTTCCCCAGCAGAGATGAACCCCCTTACATAAACACATTTATTTTCAAAGAGACGCAGTTGTTGACTAGAAAACGAATGATGTGACGCTGTAAATTACCAACGGATACTGCACTGTAATCCATAAAGTCTCCATTTAATTAGTTGACAGCTTCAAAATGTTCTCGTCTCCATTTATTCCATAAATCTTGAATATGAGCATGCGAATAGGGAAAAGGCTGTTTTCTCCTTTATATTTGTGCTTATCCAGTTGAAAATAGAAGCAATGTAGAGGATTTTTGTGTCACATGTAGGGCTGCACGATTTGGGGAAATAATCGAATTGCGATTTTTCTGACAGATATTGCGATTTGCGATATTTGTTTTTAAGCGACCCAACGGAAGTTTATTGTAAAATGCGGCCATATCTCCGGCTAGGAAGGTCGTATCAACGTGCTCCCGTCTCTAGCACCCCGAGCTACGAGTGAAAGAACTAAACTTACATGAAACTTCCGTTGGGTTGCTTTAAAGTCAAGCTTCAGTTTAAGATTCACCCTGTAATAGATGTAGAACATGCGATGGAGCATTACTAACCTGACTCAGATGGTTTGTTTCACCTAACCATCTAGGAAAGCTCCATTGGAAGCCATTTGGATTGGATCAATCTGTCTATCACCTTCTATCATGGGCCACTTCTGATTGGTTAACAATGGCTGGTACATGTGGAGCACAGCACTTCTGATTGGTGTGGATGACTGACACACAAGAAGACCAAAAAACAAAATCAAATCGCAGGCTTTGCGATTTGATAATTGCATCATTTCAAATCGCGATTTCGATTTAAAATCGATTAATCGTTCAGCCCTAGTCACATGTAGGGATTTGATGAGCTAGGTTGCAGCACTTGGTGGAGTTGGGTTTGGGTGTGTGGCCCAGGCAGCCAAGTAGTTAATGATGGCGTCTCCGAGGCGTGCTCCGGGACTTTGGCGCAGAGAGAGAGTCCCCGAGCCAAGCCTAAGGGCCGGGCCAGGGAGGGACCTGCTGCACTCTCCCTCTCTCTCTCTCTCTCCTCTCCAACTGGGGCGGGGGCTCCTCTACTTCTCTGTCCAAATGAGCAAAACCTTTTGGTTTAGTAGAAGGGGATTGGGGGATTGGGGGAGGGGGCGGAGAGGCAGAAAATGAAGGACCCTGTCTTGACATGCGTTGAGATGAGAATATCAGGCTCATTCAACTCCCGAGGGTTCAGAGAGGAGGAAAATGTCAGGAGGCGGGGGGAGACTCACGATGGAGTTTTCATCTGGGCTTCATTCAGTGTCAGTGGCCGTTGAGTTCATTCATGAGAAAATTCCACAACTTGGTGGACAGTTTTGTCAAAGTCAGTATAAAAAGGTCAGTTCATCAAAGATATCAAGTGTTTTATCCAAACCAGTTGCCATCTACGCATGCAATTATTTTCAAGGATTTGATGTGAGGTACACCTCCTCACTCAGGAGAAAATGGGACAGTTTTTCAGGGACACATCAGGGTTTTTTTTCTCAACTGAGCAATGGAAAAGATGTAGCTATATTTTGTATTAAATGTAATATTTGATAACAGTTCATGTCACATGTATATTTGTCTCCAACAGGTATGTACTGTCCAAAGGTATTGACAAACAGCCAGGTAAGACAATGTCAGAGTGTAATGAAAGAGAGAGAGGGGGGTGTGACATGCAAAGGTCCCAAGGCTGGAATTTAAACCAGGCCATTGCTGTTATATGGCAAGCAATGTAACTCAGCTACCAAGCACCTCCAGGAAAATAAGAGTTATTGCATTTTGTGCGACCTTACCCTTCTTGAAAATGCCTGTTTGCAGAGGAAGATACTGTACACAATTCCCAGACATTGCAGCTCTCTAGAATACACAAAGACAGGCTCACCTTGGTGCTGGCTACTCCAATCTCAGGCCCAGCGTTGATGTGGACTCCGCAGTCGGTCTCCCTGGAGATGGAGCTGCCCACGGTGTTGGTGATTCCCACGGTCAGAGCTCCTCTCTCCTTAGAGTAGCGCAGGGCCATGAGGGTGTCTGCAGTTTCCCCTGGAGGATGGGCAGGAGTAGAAAAACATTTAGACAACTGTTTATGCAATGGAACAGAAGTAACAGTTCTGACAATATAATAACGCTGATTTATTAGTTGGTTAGGAAATGGCCTTTTCACTAAAACAGGGCTGATTTGAAACAGCTTAACCGTCTCAAAAATATCAGACACGCATAAATAAATAAATAAATAAACCTCACACAAAAGAAACAGACACATTCAGAAGATTGCAGCAGAACCGAGAGAAAACTCGCTGTGCTGCAGACGTTTTACAAGGCTCAAGATGAGCACAAGAACAGATAAATCTTCCAGGAGCGGAAAGTGGACAAATGGGGAATGTGTATTTAGATGAAGTCCAGATGGCCCCGGCCTGCACACCTGACTGGCTGATGAAGAAGCAGACGTCGTCTCGGAAGACGGGGGTGTTTCTGTCCAGGAAGTCACTGGCCAGCTCCACCATGACCGGCAGCTCGGTCAGTTCCTCCAGGACCTGCCGGGTCTGGGGAGGAAAGAAAAGCACTGCTCAGCATCATCCAGCTCACAACAGAAAGTGTGCTCAAACCTCACCTGTGTCCACATTACAGACATGACCGACTAGTAAACGTGGAAATGCAAAACAGACATGTTCCCGTAAAGTGCGTTTACACCAAAGAAGAGTAAGCATTAGGCGAGTGGTTACTCACCGCTACCCCAGCATGGTAGCTGGTCCCGCAGGCGATGAGGATCAGCCGCCGACACCTCTGGATCTCTTTGATGTGGTCCTTCAGTCCACCCAGGGTGACTGAAAAGCAAAACAAACAGCTAATCCATCATGCTACTCTATTAGTTTCCACCTCATTACAAAGGTCCACACAGAGCCCATGAGAGAATCTTTTAAGAAAACAAGTGTGTAGCTCATTAAAATGTTCTTAACCACAGTGAGACAAAAGCACATGTATAGTTCATCTTGGATACATACTTAACTTCCCTTGTTTTCAAACTAAGATTTTTATAACAAAGTGACAGCAAGGCTAGTCATCCCAACAAACTAATAAATGTTTTCACATGTGCTTTGCTTATAATAAATCCTTAACAGGAGACATTTGAGCATGCGTTTCAGCATCATGCACGGTAGGACAGAGCACAAAATAGTGCATCCATTAGCCGTTTTATTACATGAATGCCCGACTGAAAAACGAACCTGTGTTGTTCTCAAAGTTGATTCTCCCCCTCATGGTATTGACCACAGACTCGGGCTGCTCAAAGATCTCCTTCTGCATGAAGGAGCTGTAGTTGCCTGTGGTGGGAGGATCAGAAATCAGTTAAACATTTCCACTCTTAAAGAGGGTTGATGCCTCTTAAGAACACATTGATGGACTTTTTAATAAAGTGTGAGCCCACATGTGACCGTCTGAAAGGGTCTTCTCTTCAGATTAAGTGCCTGAAAATGCAAACCACTAGCTCCTGGAGAAGCATGAACATCTTTACAATGTGTTACTGATAAATCAGGCTTTGTTTGGAACGCAGGGAGTTACTGTTTTTTGTTGCTTTGTTAAAATGTTCATAGCCAAAGGGTAAGGCATCCTTTAAATGTTGTAAAAGCAAACCTGAGACAAAGGGAGATAGTGTTTTTCCATCAATAATAATCAGTGACACTGAACTATGAGAGTGTTTTTGAGCCAGCCACTGACGGCAATTTGGGTCATGCGATTTTGGTTATTCAGCAGAAAGGCTCCAGAAAGTGAAACGGAGGAAAGGCTGAGTAATGACAGGACCACAAAGGAATGTAGAGAGCAGCCAACATCAGTTTACCTCTGCCCTCTGCTGGATTACTCAGGAAGAGTGAGTGGAGAAGATTTCTCTTTGTGTGGACGGCTCAGAGGTTTAAGTGTTCACAGCTATCTGGGATACACAGTGTGAGGCACGTCACCCATTTTATGCAACATTTCAGCCGGATAATGAACACATGTTTTTATTCAATCAATATGTCCTTCTTTAAAACAGCAACGATTAGCTATTTGTTTTTTTCCAGGTTCTCACATGAGGATGTTCTGCTCCGTTTGCAACCATGAGCTCTAAAGCTTGCTCTATGGGTCGGTGGACAAAAATGTCCCCACCCTTTGGCGGCCTCAGTTTATTGCCCAGAGAAACGGACATTTGGAATGAGATCAAGTGGATGTGAGGTTTTGTGTGAACGCATGAATGCTGGATAGCTGTTGCCAATTTGCACTGCTGTTTGGATAAAATACCAATGTAAAGACATCACTGGGTCCTGAGAAGTCGAGACAGCCGTTTCCCCCACTTTTGACTAAATACATTAATTAAAAAAAAATATTCTGCAGATTAACCAATAATTAAAAAAGTGATATCATAACAATGCAGCCATAGTTCAAATTAGGGCTGAACGATTAATCGATTTTAAATCGAAATTTGAAATTATGCAATTATCAAATCGCAAAGCCTGCAAGCCAGTTCTTCTTGTGTGTCAGTCATCCACACCAATCAGAAGTGCTGTGCTCCACATGTACCAACCAATCAGAAGTGGCCCATGACAGCAGGTGATAGACAGATTGATCCAATCACCTGCCAAGTATTTTTGAAATACTTTTCCAAATGGCTTCCAGTGGAGCTTTCCTAGATGCTTTGGGGAAACAAACCATCTGAGTCAGGTTAGTAATGCTCCATCACATGTTCACATGTTTACCTAATCACAACAGAAGTTTCATGTAAGTTTAGTTCTTTCACTCGTAGCTCGGGCTGCGAGAGACGGGAGCACGTTGATACGACCTTCCTAGCCGGAGATATGGCCGCATTTTACAATAAACTTCCGTTGGGTCGCTTAAAAACAAATATCGCAAATCGAATCGCAATCGCAATATCTGTCAGAAAAATCGCAATTAGATTATTTCCCCAAATCGTGCAGCCCTAGTCCAAATTAAAGGAGTATTTTCCCCTTTTGAGGAGAGTTATGTGATATAACTGATACCTCTCTTATGTCTGTAGAGTAAATATGAAGCTAAAGCTAACATGCACTTAACTTGGCTAAGACAAAGAGTGAAACAGCACGAAGAGGCAACCAGCTGAGACCCTGGGAGGTTATTGGTCCCAGCCAACAGTCTCATGTGAGATTTGAGCCATGAAAGTCCCACTTCTCATCCAACTCTCAACAATAAATAAACTAAAAGTCACTTCTCTTCAATTACAGCTCAAATATACACTTTAAAACTCATTACCCTTTGTTTAAAGTGGACCTATCATGCTATATTTGAATAATATAGTGTAGGACCATACCTATATAAGGCATATTTATACTTTTTTTTTTTTCAAAATACCAAACAGATCATGCATTTTAGCCATGCCTCATTTTGCTCAATTTGACAATTTATAGCTCTGTTTGTGCAAGGGCTGATTCTGTGAGAACAGCACCATCTACTGGCCTGGCATATGTACTACAGCGTCTCCAGCGCTTTCGAACGGCAATGGCCGTGGCGGTCTCCTCCTGATTGGTGGAGTTGGCCCAATAGCCGTAGCGCCACTGTCCTGACGTCAGGACAGTGTTCAAATCTGGATCAGTTTTTATCAGATCCGTTGCAGCCCCTTTTTTAGAGATTTGGGTATGGAGGAAAATAGAGAGGGTTGTGTTTTCTGACACTTGGTGAGTTCCCTGGAACACCGGGGACACATGTTCATGTATAAAAGACGTACAAAAGTGCATTTTGCTTGATAGGTCCCCTTTAATTAACAAAGCTATAAACATTAAAACATGCTCCGCTGTACTTCTATCTTTTGACTGCACTAAATGTCAGCTCAGGCTCAGATAGGGAAGTTGAGGGTGATAAATTCCTACAACAATCATTGTATTGACAGTGGCTGACCTGGGGGTGCAGCTGATACAGTGGGTTTGTAACGAGCTGGATGATAAGAAGGGTGGCCTCAGGGCAGGAAGTTAACAGCCAGCTCAGCTAAACAAGCAGTTGGTCTCCCATTAAGATTGACACAATAATAACAGGTTTCAGGACCAGATTACAAGGCAGTTCACCCGGTGATTACTGTGTAGGGAAAATGTATCCTTGGGGGATAAATGAACAGATCAAAGACTTGACCCTCCACTCACCCTTCATGATCTGCTGCAGCTCCATCTGCAGGGTCTGGATGGCGCGGGCTGGATAGTCTCCGGCCGTACGCTTTATCCTGTGAATGGACAGGCGGCCTTCCACCACGGCGGCCACATCGTCGTCCTCCAGGAAGATCACCCGGTTTGTGTGCTCGATCACTGCGCTGTGGTGACAAGAGAGGCGAGCGGAAGACAACGTCAATCGTTTGATTCACCCTCCAAAATAAAGTCTAAAAAAAGGTATGGAACTTCGGTGAGAATCTTTGAACAAAATCTAATATTGCTTTGGTATAAAAGGGTGATACAAAGATGTGGGTATGTGCTAACCTTGCATCGGAGGCAAAGTAATACTCGACAGATTTCTCATCCACAGGGAACAAGCAGGTGTCCCGGTCCGACCTGGGTAGGGCAGTGCAGCCTTTCTTGTCTTTAGTGGCTGAAGACAAAAAGAAATGAGCCTCAGTCACACTTCTGCAATCACACATGGATCGTTTAGAATACAAACTGAAACTTACTGGAGCGGTAGACCACAGGAATATGATCTGAGGACAGCTTGTGATCACACCTCACTCCCATCAGCAGGGGACTTCCCCTCCTACACAGAAACTATTTTATGAGCAAACAAAACTTCAATCTGAAGTAGTTGCCATACGTTTGACAGCATCAGTAGGACTGTACCTTGTGCCCACTGCCTCTCCGGGGTAGTGGACGCTCTTGAAGACCAGGGCAAAAGCTCCTTCCTGGTGAGGGGAAGAACAAATAAAATCAGACAGGCTTTTTATCAGCTGATCAATATAATAGCAGCAGTGTGCATGAGCAGGTCCTCACCAGCTGCTGGGTCACTCGTTCCACCAGTGTTGCGAAACTGATGTCGTTATTCTCCCTGTTGTCAAACATGTATTTCACCAGCTTGGCAATGCTCTCCGTGTCAGTCTCCGACTCAAACTCGTAACCTTTGCTCTCCTGTGGAGGTGGGAAAAAAATAGTTAGTCCTGTTTCATATCAGAGTGGTCAACAAATGAAAGAAATGTATGCTTACCAAGAATTTCCTCAGGTCTTTGTAATTGGTGATGATTCCATTGTGAACGACAATGAACTCTGTAGACCAGAAATATAAACAGAAACTTTAAGACACCTGAAACCAGATCAAAAAACCTGAGCTGCAAAAATATTTAGCTTTGTGCTGTGTGTTAGCTCTCAATCTTCAAACACAACTGACCATTGGTCTTGTCAGATCGGTGTGGATGGCTGTTAACTGGGCTTGGCGCACCGTGGGTGGCCCAGCGGGTGTGAGCAATGCCCAGATGGACGTCAAACTCCACATCCATGTCAATATCCTGCTGCTCTAAAGGTCAGACAAACACACCCACACAGGAGTATTTAGTATCCAAAATGCACCAAAGAATGAAAATCCAGTTGAATGTTTGATTCACAGTACTTACTGTTGATCTCCTCATCAAGCATCTTCACTTTTCCACGTTGCTTGATCAGTTGGATGGACTTGGCATTTGTCTCCCAGTCCTTTCCATTTCCAGCATCAATTCCCACACCTAACCAAATACAAATAAATTAGCATGAGTGAATTAGAGTGAATGAAGTATACAAAAATGTATATGATAACTTGTTCCCACTTGTTGTGGTCCAATGCCAGAACAGAACTCCAACATAAAATGCAGCTACATTTAACCAAAACATTAGAAAAAAAAACTTCTTCACATACAGTAGTCTTCACATACAGTACATAGTCTTCACATACAGTACATAGCGACATTAATGGTGCGGTAAGTGTAACCCATAAACACAATAATGGCTGTTCAATTATTTACAGTCAACATCAGTCTTGCTTAGTGGGAACAAAGAAAAACAAATGGTGATGAGGCGATTCTAACGCTGCATTATTGTCCAAATAAACACACTTCACCATCAGCAAATTGGGCATTATCAGAAAAAAGCTCTCCTGGAAGACAGTAAGGGGAACGTGAATAAAGAGGCCTGATTAAAAAAGTGTGTTGTTGATGATGATGATGATGATATGAGGTTTTTAAATGTCTCTCACCGGCTGAGTCATAGCCTCTGTACTCCAGTCTGTGCAGACCTTTGAGGAGGATCTCAAGGATGTCCCGACGAGTCCTCGGCACATGGTAGTTGAGATATGCAAAGATTCCTGGGCAGAGGAAGGAATAGAATATCAAGCCACTGAAGATTTAAGGAAGAAAAATGACTATCCCTGTGTGAAATGGCTTAGCATAATAATACAACACTATACGTTTCTTGAATAAATATATATATATATATATATATATATATATATATATATATATATATATATATATATTTTTATATTATCAGGGAAAAAGGAAATAAATCAGGGAAAGGAAATAATCTGTGTTCTACTGTCATTACATGATACTAAAATCTTCTTGGAATTGTTTATTTGTAAAACTTTGTTAGATATGCTATAAATCATACCGTCACTATAAAATTATTCAATATAAAGATGAAAATGCGGCTGATGACAGTGTAATGCGATTCTTACGAAGTAGGACAAGCTCTACTTTGAGATGACAGCCATCCTTTATTTGCAAGTCAATACATTGGAGGTGTATTGTGCATAATGCAAAAAACCAGTCTTACAGGAGCACAGACAAAACTAAATCCTTGGCAGTAAGGCCTGCTTAGAGACAATGGAGTATATCTATAGGCATGGGTGTTTCAACACATGACATCTCATTCCAAATATTCCTGTTACTCAACGGTGCAATAACCGACCCTCATCAATCCCTATTTTAGTATTTCAATGACACATTTCAGCAATAATCCGCAGTCTTTCCTGCAGGTACTTCGGACTCCTCTGCCAGTCCAGCAACTTACTCACACTGACATCAATGTCACCTTAATTAGCCCAAAGGGGGGAAGGAATGAAATACAGCCCAGTTACACAGCTAAGCATTAACAGATAAATGCAAATGTAGAGCCAGAGAGCTGCCTGGTCCAACAGAGCATTCATTCAGATCAGCAGGAGACGGGGGGAGGCAGTGAGGGGAATCTCCACAGGAAAGTGTTGCAGCAGCAGGCAGAAGGCACAAGACCAACCTTTGTTAAAGAAATATGTTGATCATAGAAAACTGAACCCGAGGAAAGTGGCTTCTTGCCGACATGTCAGTAGATAATGAAATAGAATCATGTGTCCAACTAGTTTATCTGGTCTGATGGTGTGATTGAGATTGTAGAGACAGTGATGGGAGACAGAGAGACATCAGCTATCAGGCGTGAAAGAAGAAGGCAATCAGGGACATGGACAGGTACTTGCAAAGTATCTCAAATACATTTGCCAAACTGATGATGACAAAGGAGTTGTTTCCGGATACTTTCTCGATAAAAGTTTAACGTAAAAGTAACTAAGTGGTGTAAAATAACTAATTTTGAGGTACTTTACTTGATTAATTTCATTTTATGTTACTTTGCATTTTTCCACTCCACTAAAATTCAGAGGTAAATATTGGACTTTTACTCTATTACTTTTATGTAGTACCTTTAGTTACTATGCAGATATAGATTAATGATAAACAATATGATCAACTCAAAAAAACTCAAGTTACAACATGCTCTTGCTACCCAGCAGTAAATAAAGTAATTAAAATGAGTTCCACCTTGACCAGCTTGATAAACACTTAATACATCAATGATTTTAATGACAACATATAATATAGGATTGTGAAATGGGCCATTCTGCATAGAGAGTACTTTTCTTTGGATAGTAGGTATATTTTGATGCCAATACTTTTGTACTTTTTCTCGAGTAACATTTTGAATACAGGACTATAACTTGTAACCGAGTTGTCCTGCTCTCTGCTAGTTCTACTTTTATTAAAGTACACAATCTGAGTACTTCTCTGAAGACAACAAACCAGAGTGACAGACGCGCAGTGGAAAGTACAGAGATGGACGTCATGTCACCGCAAACCACGTAAACTGCGTTGACAGGAAGAAACATCATATCCCTGGATATTGACTTGGCGTTAACGTCAAAAACACAGATATCATGTGACGTTGCAGCAAAATAACACAGTGGTTTCTTTATATTTGGATAGCTAACAGCATCTCATGTAAGCTAACTCGGGTTAGCCACCCTTTAGCTAAATTCAACTGACTAACATTTAACCTGAGCCAATGATGCTAGCAGTACTTACAATTACACCGTTGCTGTTCTTGGAATAAGGAAACAAACTATATGTTCCGCTGTATAGTATAAATGTAGAATTGATTCAGAACTCACCACACATGTCTTCAGTTCAGTTTGGCTGCCAAATACAGCTACTACGGTAGCCGGGAACGCCTGTCAGTTTAACTTCGCCCACTTATTGTTTTCACTGAGTCAGAGCCAACCGCCGTCCTCCATGGCAGCTTCTGATTGGTCGAAAGGCCTGTCAATCAAGGTATACCTACCGACGTCGACACTCCTGACGTGGCATCAGGATACATATCCGTAGGCAGAACAGCCACCACACACAGCACACACCTAAAGTCAACATTACTGCGCAATGCCTAGCCTGTGCCCTCTGCTACTGCAAAACCATGTAAAATAACTTGTCAATAACATTTTCAATTACACAAAGGGCATTATCCGGGTTTTAAGTAATGGCACACTTATATTACGTTAAACCTGCCCTGTAAGTAATATCTCTAAAATTGTAAGTAATACATCATTTACTGAAAACATATCTAGATGTAAGGAAGCATACTGTGACAATAAAAAGGCTAAACTGTCAAAACATATTTCAACAAACTTTATTTATATACATACAGTATAATTATGTAAAGGTAAGGTTAGTGACTGAAATGAAAAAGGTGTGACATTGTAAAATAATAATCACCGTTGATTTCAGCTCTAGAGCAATCAGTTCCTATGACCAGGCTCTTCTGTCCTATATATTTTAATTTTGTAATCACTGTACAGAAAATAGATATCAAAATCATTGGCATCTGGATGAATAATGAGGACAGCTATGCTGTGCTGTAATCCATTTTATTGTAACTATGGCTTGAATCAAAGGAGTTGGTGGGGGGAGCGAGGAATGTGTAAATGTGGTTTCAGTGTAGTTCACACTTGAGCAGCTTCCTCCTCATCCTCATCCGTCACCTGTGGAAAAAATAACAAGTTAAATTCACACCTTAAGTAGCACAGACTTTCCCAAACCACATATTGCCTTTTTATATTAATTAATGTGTGCTAATTGTAGATGGCAATTTGTGAGTCATGACACCAATGTGTCTATCTAATAATACAAGAGATTTAAAATTACAGTGCTTATACAACATAAAATAAAATGTATGCAGCTTATTACAACAACAATGAGTCAGGAGAACAAACCTGCTCCACTGATTCAACTTCGGGAACGTAAAACTGCAACATGTTTTGGATTCCACTCTTCAAAGTAACCATTGAACTGGGACAACTGGTGCAGGAGCCCTGCAGCTTCAGTTTAACAATGCCGCCCTCAAACCCCCGATACACTATATCACCTCCATCCTCCTGCACTGTTGGCCTGGGGGAGAAAAACACCAGTGAGTGTGGAGAAAGGACAGGAAGCCATGGTCACAGGGAAAAGATACTTATACAGTGGGTGTTTCTCAATCGCGAGTACGCTTGCTTGGTAGCACATGTCTGCCGAGCATCTTGCTTCAGAAGCGAGTCAAGAATACTTCCTGGCATTCGGAAAACGAAGTGTGGAACACGCTAGCAAGTGTGCAGGTGTGCGTCATATGAGAGGCCCCGCCTTACATCTTCCGCCACAGATTTGGGGAAATTGGTCCGTGCGCAAAGCATTGTGGGGATTTTAAGACCGCGGAGTCTACTCATGTGCAGCCTCGATATTTCTCCAAACGGAGTACGCCGGGCTCGGTAGATTTCCAAGTATGCTGGAGATTGGAACAGTACTTCGGCGGCACTCAATGACGTAGTATGCTTGAAATAGTGGCTCTGAAGCAGCTTTACTCGCGATTGAGAAACAACCCGAATCAGAGTGCCTCCTCACAAGCAGCTACCTTATTCGAGTGTCCAGAAGTTCTTTGATCATAGCGACTACTTCATCGTCATCCTCTGATGGTGCTGAGAAGACAAATGGAGATTCCTCAGCATTCACAAATAGTCTGCCAAACTCATTCTGTCTATTTCAGTGTTTTCCCTGCACAGCTGGTTAAAATGTATACCTGTATCTGCACTTGGTGTGCTGTCCTCATTCACCACAGGAAGTCCAGATGCAAAGAAGTCCATGATGGCAGCAAACACATCTGGCTTGATAACTCTCCATTCCATATTTTCATCAGACTAAATGGAGGCAGAGAGAAAAAACAAATGATCCTCAGCAATGACATTATAGTGTGCCACTATGTAAGGGTTATATCATATTTGACCTGGTTTTACCTTTGATATGGTGATAAAGTCAGAGCCTAGGAAGACACCCGTGACTCCCTCGATCCTAAACAGCTGCCTGAAGACAACACAGAACTTGACTGAGGTTTTGATACATTTGTGAAATATTACAGAGTTTGACACTTAAAACACTACAATCAAAAATATGTTATGCAAACCAATCCTTAGACAGATTTGTTTTACATAAACATACACAGCACCATGTGTAATATATACATGTCATACGTGTAATGTAATTTACAAGGGTTACAAGGGTACAAGGACATGAAAAAAAGCTCAACATGAACAAAATCTACTGATTGCATTGTTTGACACATTTCTTGGCATGGGATTGGCCAGTTTATGAAGACTCAAGGACAACCAGAGGAGAACACAGAAGTCTTATATCGTCATTTCTTGTTTTGTGAGTACAGATGCAATTGGTTGTCATGCAGTTGAATAACAAACCAAACCCAAGTGCCACTGATACATAGCGTAATGGCTGCATTCCTTTGACTATGAATAGTTGGAACACAGCCAACATCAATAAGCACCACTCAAGTGTCATTTGTGCATTTGTTCCTACTGGGTGTCTAAGTGCCGGCTGTGAACTTGATGCATTACTAGCTGTTCAGTAATTGTTTACTTAACATGTAATATACCTGGCTAAGGGTGAGCAATGAGCATCACGAGGACCCGCAAAATTCATAGTCCCAGATTCAAGAACTGTACGACCGGGAAGAAACTTTAGACTGTTTGGGTTTGGTGTGTCCTGCGTCTGCACAAACATGGTCCTTGCTGGAAAAAATAAAAATAAAAAATGTAATCAGTTAATCATTATTTAGTGTTGTCCCAAGTCAGAAGACCATAATGATCTTGAAGGCATACAAACCAGGAACAATCCAATGGGGGTTTTGTGGCCATCTGTTTTGGACTGCTGTGTTATGTGAAGGCAAGTGCAATCTGGCGCACTGATATGCACTGACTGCAAGACTGGGACAAAACAAAAGAAACATGTAAAGAGTTACAACAGCTTAACTCAACCCTCAATATATGTTGCTAAAAATCTGAATATTCAGTGACCTTGCAACCCTGTTTTATTTCCTCCCTCCCACTTCTGTATGTAACAGTTTCAAAGAGGAATCAGTTCACTAAGAATCAGGGTTCATACACTTTTTCACCAATGATTTTCAATGACTTCTCCATGACCGTTGCCTAATTTTTCATGACCAAAAAAATTACTCTTTCTCAGCGGTACTACTGAAAATTGTTTATTTTAACATGGAACAGGAAAATAAGGTCTGCATATGAAACATGTCTGATCTAAAACAAATCAAATAGTTGGCTTACTAGCTCCTACAGGCTAAATCAACTAAAATCTCTCACCAGCAAAATACCTCGACAGTTAAATGCCATTTTACGTTTAATTACTATACAGTATTTATTATCATTATAGTATTACTATTTCGGCGATTAGATAAAATATAAATTATATTTGATGCAACTTTAGTTACATTTCCATGACTTTTCCAAATCTTTGGGAAAAATATTGTTTTCCATAACTTTTCCAGGGCCTGGAATTAGCATTTTGAATTTCCATGACTTTTCCAGGTTTTTAATGACCGTAAGAACCCTGAAGAATGTTCTAGATTCAAAGATTTTCAAAGCTTTTATTGTCATATGAACAGTAGCTGCAGTGTAGATATGGCAATGAAAATCTAAATTATATACATGTCAGGAAAAGAAAGAAAGAAAGAAAGCTACATGTTGCAGTTTAATCCAATTGAAAGAAATAGTGCAAAAGGGACAATACAACACGTCATTTATTTTAAGGGCAATTCGTTAAGAATAATAAGTAATAGAAGACACACCAATGACATCATGCTTGTTATCATGCTGCTCTGATAGGCGCTATCTTTCTGCGTCACCATGGAACTTAGCTAACTAGCTAGCTGCTCTCAGTTAGCTTTGGTACGTTAGAGGTCGTTGCTCTTGATTTATAAGTATTACAGAAAAATGACAGACATTGCACTTTCACAACTGACAAACAGGGACACTTACGGACGGGAAAGCCTTGCTGAAATTCCCAATAACCTGCCGACCTGCTTGTAAGTCGCCATGTTTGTTATGGTTATTTAAAAGACGGAAGTGGTCTGTCCTACATGCGGAAGTGACGCAGTATTATTGTACGTGCTACATTTCTCCCCTGAAAATCTAACCATCTGCTATCGTCAACAAGCGTACTTTAGCAAAAAGCTTAGAGATAACATACAACATGCCGAGTGGTAGAAACTTTAGACAAAGAAGGAACTCTTCAGATGTAGAAGAAGATGAGACAACCAAAGAAGTCAGGTAAAGTATTATTGTGAGACTATTTCAGGTACAAACATACTAGCTAAATCAACCTAATGTTAGCTAACGGAGCCAACTGCTGCATCCGTTAAAATACATTTAAACAGATGAGGGAGAAGTACTCAGATCTTGTACTAAAGTAAAAATAGAAGTAGCAGATTGTAGGAATACTCTGTCACGAGTAAAAGTCCTGCATTCATAATGTAGTCAGGTAAAAGTACAACAAGTATTAGCATCAAAATATACGTAGTACCAAAAGTATTCAATATCAAATTGGTCAATTTCAGATTAATATGATATGTTTTGATTATAATTTTTTGATTATAATTATTGATGCATTAAAGTGTTTATCGAAGCTGGTAAAGGTGCAGCTAGTGTTAATTACTTTGTATACTGTAGGGTAGATTGTGAATGTAACTTAAGTTTTAAGGGTTGATTATATTGAATGAAGTACAAAGTAGCATAACATGTAAATACTCAAGCAAGTATCTGGAAATTATACTTAAGTACAGTACTTGAGTAAATGTACTTGGTTACTCCCAGCTCTGCCGTTAAAATACATTTAGAAACCCTAACTACGTTTTTCATTAATGGAATTGTTGTCTGTGGTGTGAATGTTATTGTCAAAACTAATATCATTAAAAAATATATGTGTATTTCTTGGTCGTTTAGATCAAAAGTAGAGGAGGCTAAGGAGCTTCAGAGTTTGCGGAAACGACAGACTGGAGTCAGGTAATGTGAATGAAGCACTTGTAACGCTGTTTATAATAAAGCATAATGGAACATATGGGATTTAACTTGATCTTGATATTCCCTTTTTGTTTCAGTGTGTCCGCCCTGCTGATCGGGGACTTACTGCCACCAGAGAACGATGCTGATGTAAGTAATCTGTTTGGATCTGTTCATTTATTTGGATTGAATCAAAATGGTTTTAACAGCCATTTGTATACATCGTTGTTAAAGTAACTTTTTATTTATTTGTTTACAGAATGACCCTTTTAAATTAAAGTCTGGAGGGGTTATAGACATGAAGAAAATCAAAGAAAGGAATATGGGCCTGTAAGTATATCTGTGGCTGTCCAATTAATTGCGTCAGTGTAAAACATTGTGTAGGCACTTGAATGTCATTACATGATAAACCATGCCTTTCATCGCATAGGACAATGATTTGACTCGAGCTACATTTTGTTCCAAATGCAGGACTGAGGAGGAGACGGACCTGAACCTGGGCACTTCCTTTTCTGCTGAAACAAACAGAAGAGACGAGGATGCAGACATGTATGTTTATTTTGTATTTCTTTAATTCAGAAATGTCCAGACTATGGACACTTATGGCGCATTTCCACTGGTTGCGTTTCCACTAGGCGTAGTTCCGGCTAGCGGGTACTTTTTCACAGTTTTCTGGCTCTCCAAAATCGAGGTTCTTTCCGGGCCAACAACCGGGCTGAGTATGCTAAACTAGAGAGAGAATCACTGGCAAGGGGGCTACAACTACAACAAAATGAACATATTTGACTGTGATTTAATTGTAATACACGTTTCAAAATGATGCCGAAGTAACAACATACTGATACCGGTTAGTAAAAACCATGAATTAATGCTTTGACAAGTCTGCAGACAGACGGCAGGCGAAAAACCTTTTAAAATGCGTGTTTTCTAAATGGAGATCGGCTAAGCTAACGCAGTATATGCTCCGACCGTCCACACTCACAACGGCCTATACAGACATAAATAAACCAGCGACTGTACTCGCCATGACACAGGCAGTCTGTGGTTTGTACTTGTTTAACTTTTGTCTAGTTTCTGAACAGATATGAGGAGCTGTGAGCTCTGAGGGCTAACAGCTAACGGCTGATGTTGGTTTTGTGTTTCGCATTGAAGATGACGTCACGGCTCCGCCTACACTGCATTACTATAGTTACTGCCCCAGTTCCTAAACTGTAATGGAAACGCAGCATAAAGTGAGCCTGGCCTACCAAGGCCTAACTATACCGTACTAAGCCGTGCGAGGCCTGCAGTGGAAATGCGCCATTACACACAGTTGTTTTTCAAAGTTTGTCATTGAAATATTTTGAAACCCAAATGTTTCTATCTACCCTCACAGGATGAAATATATCGAGACAGAGCTGAAAAAGAAGAAGGGTTTGGTGGAAGCAGTGGAACAGAAAGTGAAGGTGAAGAATGCAGAGGACCACCTGTATGAGCTGCCAGACAGCATCAACGTCAATTCTGCCAAGAAGACGGAGGAGATGTTGTCCAATCAGATGCTGAGCGGGATCCCTGAAGTCGACCTCGGCATTGAGTACGTACAGGACATTTTAAAGATACTCCTGTAGATGCATGGATGTGACCAACGGACAGAAGAAGGAAACCACTCTGTTACTGATGGTCTGTTTTTTCCTTTCATAGTGCGAAGATTAAAAACATTATCCAGACCGAGGATGCAAAAGCCAAACTTCTGCAAGAACAAAGGAACAAGAAAAAAGACAACGGGACCTCATTTGTTCCCACCAACATCGCTGTCAACTATGTCCAACATAACCGCTGTAAGTGCTGCAATCTGTAGACGTTAGATATCAAACAGTAAGAAAGTAATAGATATGACTTACTTGATGGATCCTATATTGGGAAATATTTTCGTCACAGCAGCAACATGTTAAAACAAGGCATTGCATATAATGTGAAAATAAACAAACATCAAATATAAACATGTTGATAGTGAAAGATACAAATCTGTAGACCAGGGGTCGGCAACCTTTTTGATATGAAGTGCCAAATTGGGATCAGTGTGCCGACGATCATGAACTGTCAACGGGGGGGGGGGGTAGAGCTCGACACTCGTGAACTGTCAACAGGAGGGCGGGGGGAGCCTTGCTGCGGGGAAGCAGTGTGTGGACCACTTTCACCTGTCAGCGCAACTTACATGATGCGGTTTAAACAAATTTAAATAATTGGTTTAAACGGCATAATAATAATGACGGTCGTCCGTTCTGTGATTCTCCAGAACACACAGATGGCCAGTCCGCCCCTGTGTAGCATATTATTTTCGATGAGAGATGAGCAGATCGCCACTGGGCTTTCAACTAAAGACACAGCCACGCAAAAACTGGGGCATTTGTACAGCTCCTTATGGGTACAATTTGTGAAGTGCCGGCGCGCTCCGGCAGCACTACACCCCTGATCGGTTCACCACGGAGGAAAGCAGCAGCAAGTCGACTGGAGTTAAAGAGAGCGGGGCTGCGTTGCGTGCATGGCTTCCTTCTGCAGGTAACGGGGAGACGCGCTCTGGTGGTGGTTTCATTCAGGATCCGAAAATACAATTTTAATATTTTGCACACTTATTCCTAGTGTGCTACTGGTTACGGTGCCGCGGAGGGGTTGCCGACCCCTGCTGTAGACTATCGGTCAAACACTATGAGGGGCCAAATTACAGCTAACAAAATGTAAAAGTAGGATATTGTTTACATTGAGCGAGCAAGGAATAGCATATTCAATTAAATATAAATGTACAATGTGAAGAAAAGTCCAGTTATCAAAACAGAAACGATGGATCAGTGAGTTCTCTGCCAGCCAGAGGTGAGTTGTTGTTAATGAGGTGAAAGGTTGGTTAAATATGTAATATGTCTTTTCAGTCTATCGTGAGGATGTGAACGCACCACAGAGGCATCAGAGACAAAGAGAGGAGCCCAAAGCGAGGCCGCTGCGTGTGGGAGACACTGAGAAACCAGGTCCAGAGGGTAAGAGACCGCCACACGCTGTTGTACTTGTTAGCACACCCTAACAGGATTATATACACTTGTACTTGCTTCTATAAACTCTATGGAATTAGACTTCATGTGTTGCTAACTACTCGTCTTGCTTTTCTCCACAGCTCCGTCTCCACCTAACTATCGCAAACGTCCAAACAACGAAAAGGCCACAGATGATTACCATTATGAGAAGTTCAAGAAGATGAATCGACGATATTGAGAAGCTCGATGTCTTTTTTTCTTTTTTATAACTCAACTTGATGTCAATCTTTTTGAAGATAACATTTGCAGACCAGTTTCTCAAACAGCTGTTTATTGGAGTGCTCCAAAGCCAATAGTACTTTGTAAAATGTTGGGGTTATTTGTCTACTCAACAGCATTGAGGGGATCAAGGAATCAGTCAAGGAATAGTTGTTAAAAATGAGGTGTATTACGTAAGCTTTGCTTGTCAGTGCATTGTTAAATGTTGACTTTTAGTTGCCATTAATAAAACGTAAAACCAAACGCTTTAAGTTGTTCTTTAATGTGCCCAGTGCTTAAAGTAAAAAACAAAACAGAAATAAAACATGACATAAGAACATTCAATACTCAAGCTAAGTCCAACATAATGTAAAAAATGTGTACGGGTTATTAAATGATGTACATTTACACAAGAAGTTGTCTGATTTGTTTGCCTACCTCAGTATTGTATAAATCAAATAAGCCAAAGTATGCAGAAACATACATTCAATTCAAAAACTAAATTAAACGGAGGGGAATGTTACTTCTGATACATTTTACATGTCATTATTTGGACTAATAATTATTCCCATGTATTTTTCTGGTTTATTACCCTCTTTATTTTACTGTAATACCTGTTTAAGCCAAACTTTAAGTCCATAACACATTACTCTGGCAGACGTTACTTCAAAATGTAAACTAAATAAGCTAAACTACTGAAGTACAAATTGACCACAAGAGTTCAGAGTCCGTTATTCTCCTCAAGGTTTCTCTATAGAAGACGTCCCGTGTCCGTTGAGGTGGTGCTGGGGGTGGGCCTCCTGTGAGAAGGGGGCCTCCACGTC